CCTCTCTCTCTTTCCCTTACCTTTTCTCTCTCCATCTTACTTCTCCAGGCTCGCCCACAACCTTCACCCCCCTTTTTTTTGCATATTAGATCTATATTCTCTCCCATACCGTTGCCTACTGCCCAGCCCTACTATTACTATGATATTATCCTTTGTAAAGAAAAGGCCACAGTTTGCACTGGGTCACCACGGTCAGCGTCCGTTTGTTGTAAGTTCCCTGGCCAGATCGTAGAAACCGAGGAAGGCCAAGGTGGAATTACGTTGCCGTCATGCACCATCACCCAAAGCACCACCGACAAACTTTTACAGGAGAAGAAAAAAACTTATTATTTCCTTTATTTCTTATGTTAGTTAACTTTTCAACTTTTACATATAAAATATGATTCCTCACCTTCTCACATGTTGTTTGAAGTAGTAAAATGAATAATTGCTAAGAAAAAGGACTTGTGAGGTTTCTGCTCGAGTTTATCATAGCGCACGGAACCTGTAAGCGCCAAGCGTGTCACATACGAGGTCCGTGCCCTACAGGTCTGAAGTCTGAATCGGTTGTCGTCCGCTGATGTCGCTTTGGTGGTTTTGTTCTTGAGTGAATCATTGATGACGGCTTGTATGTGTGTGTGTGTGTGTGCGTTTGTGTCTTTGTGGGTTGTGTGTGTGTAGTGGGTTTCTCTCTTTCTCTCTCGATCTCTCTCTATCTGTCGAACACACACACACCCAATCACACACACAAACACACACACACACACATTCAGTTCCTCTCTGTTTCTGTCTTTTTTCATTCAGAGACACTGTCTCTCACTGTTTCTCACTCTCTCCCTTGCTCTCTCATTCTCTCTCTCCCCCTCTCTCCATCTCAGTCTCTCTACCCCCTCTCCCTCTCCATGCATTCAATATGTCTTTCTCTTTCTGTGTTCCGAAATACACCTCTCTTTCTCTCTTTCTCTCCCTCTCTCTCTCTCTCTCCCTCTCTCTCTCTTTCTTTTTCTTTCTTTCTCTCTCTTTCTGTCTCTGTCTCTCTCTATCTGCCTGTCTCTCTCTTAATCTCTCTCTCTCGCTTTCTCTCTCTCTCCTCCTCCTCCTCCTCCTCCTCCTCCTCCTCCTCATTTCTCTCTCAGATGCAGTTTAAATTATTTTTAAAATTCACATAATATTGTAGAATAGATTATAGTAGTCTTTAGGGATATCTGCTTTTTGTCCGTGGAGGTGTTTGAATTTCACGTCTGTGATCTCCAAGGCCTCTGTGTTATGAGTTCCAGGTTTTTCAGTAGCTACCGCTGCATATAGATCTACTACCTTTCTCGAGGATGATCCTGAGACACCTCATCAAATGTCAACTTGGAAGGATCTGTTCCGATCAGTCATATGCCTAAGAGAAAAAAGTCCACAACATGTGGGTCACCTCTTCCACTTTTGATTGATCCTTGTTTGGAATTAATCCTAAAAAAATTGTGATCAAGATATTGACCTCAAAGAATTTGGGGTTGCGGCTGGCTTTGCCCGTAATGCTAATGTAATTCGCTGGCAGGAAGATAGGGTTAGGAACACTTTTTGATGCTCGTTCTATCTAGCTATGGTAGGAATCAACGTCCTTGTGAGTGTGTCCTTTGACTAGATACTTATGTTCCACTGTCTGGCAGTAGATGACAGATGCCTGAAGTGAAGGAACAAAAAGCACAGATGCCAAGTTTATGCAGATGGCAACAGTCCTGACTCTGTCAGCTGAGCCTTCAAGAGACAGTTTGTTGTTTATCTCTTTCTCAGAAAAAAAGCTCTTTCCTTCAGCTTCATGTGCTGTTTCATTATATATACAATCTTTTTGTCCATGTTTCCAACCCTGTGGAACTCACATAAATCACACAGGCCCTTTCTGGGATGATGCAATGCCAAATTGTTATGAAACTACTTTTTGAACGCTGTTAGTTCCAGACCCTTGTGGCCGAGTTTCTCACACCTTTTCAAGTACCGGTACTCCACCAGAGAACGAAAATGGGGCCCCTGATAACATTTTGCCGAGGTTTTTCGACAATAGTAAGACAGAATTTCGGTAATATTCCAAAGAATTCATCTAAAGCATCACGTTAAAAGCCTTTAGGCATCGACAAAATGTGTTGTTTTGGTGGTCGACAGTAAGAGCAATTTTGGAAATCTAACATGTATAGATGTTAACCTGTGATTGGTGTATTAGACCTTCTAAAGTTTTATGGGGCATGGTATTTTTATCTTAGTGTTGATGCTTTGAAATGTTCCTGCTCCTTGCAATATATTATATTCACTTTGATGTCAGGGGAAAAGGCCCAGTTCAGTTTGAATAGTGAACGACGTGCTTTAAGGGTGAACAACCATAGGTACTTAATCCGTCCCTTCGCCAAGGGCAACGTTGTAAGCTTCTCAACGAAACTTTTACCTTTAATTCAGATTCACTATGCAAACAAACACAAAATAAAATAACAAAAAAGACCCGCCGCGATAAGTGTGCGCGAGATGGACCGTCAGGCAATACAACTATTGTTATGCTATTACTTTTGACCCAACGTAAGCGACGCGGTGCGACGGCTGGGCAGGCAGGGCCGCCAGGCACAAAACCTCAAAGCGCCACACTGGCGTTTACTGGTTTTATGCCCGACGGCTTTCACCAAGTTGGGCATTGGAGGTTTTTTCATTTGTGTTTTAATGTCCTTAATTTTCACCTGTGTCAGATATTGTTTTACTGGGACATACTGTATGTTAAAGAATTCTATAAGCCAAAAAAGTAAATTTTGAAAAATGTCTCTCTTAAAAAGGTTGCGCACGACAAGTGATTGCGCACGCTCATTGGAGTTTGAGTCCGAATAGCCACGGAAGGCTATTCGGACTCAACAGCAGACTGGAGTCCGAATAGCTGCTCCATACCCCCCCCCGTTTATTTATTTTCCAACTTGCCACTCGGCGAACGATCATGTGAAACTTTATATATGCAGTGGCTACGTTCACGTAGTTGGCAGGCTTCGTTCATGGTGCCCTGAATGCAGTTTGCAGCGCTGTTGAGGCTACGTTCACAGCACTAGCCTAAAGCTTCGTTTAAGGGGTACGTCCACTGCCGGTTTAAGTTAGTCACAGTGACGTTTATTATTTTGTCCAGCTTCAAGTGTTCCATCCCATGAGATGAAGGAAAACAAAGCGCCCTTACAGAAATAAAGATGGGATATGGAAAATTGGATGGTAGGCCTACATGAGAACCAAGAGGTGAGAGACGGGAAACAGAAGGTGGGATTTGGAAGATGGGACTGTTCATAAAAGGTGTACAATAATGACTATTGCACTGGGTCAGCCTGGGAACCGACACAAAGAGAAAATGAGGGGAATCTATTATTCTTATAATCTTATAATAATAATAATAATAACAAACACCTCGGAGGTAGACGAGCGAATAATCAAAATAATATACTTTATCTTGTTTGTGGAGAAGAGAGCACATAGACAGGACAACGGACAGAGCAGGCATTTTTATTTTATTATAGTAGAGGGTTTTACAGCGCTCACAACTGCATAAGGTCAAAAGAGTGTCAAGGGGTGGGTGTCAACAGAGAAGTCTTTACATACAGGGAATCAGACTTAGACAGCTCACCTCTCTAGCTTCAACAGCACAAGGTTAACTTCGACTATCAAGGCACCCCGGAAATAGCAGGTCACAAGAGAGTGACAAACATACAAAGAAGTTGAGGTAAATGACAGTAGTAAGGATCAGAAAAGAAAAAGCAGCAGTTCTCTGTTGTACATCAGGCACAGTTATGAGCGTGACATGACATTTCCTTCGACTATCAAGGCACCCCGGAAATAGCAGGTCACAAGGGAGTGACAAACGCACGAAAGAAGTTGAGGAAAATGACAGTAGTAAGGATCAGAAAAAAATTTACAATTCTACTATGCTTGAACGAGATATGTCCCCCCTTCGGGAATGGCCTATAGCAGGCAACCCCACAGCAAGACAAATAAACCGTAGCAACAAAGGGAAAGCAAAGAGGTAGGACTTAGGTTAGTTTTTAAGTTTTAGTAAGAGTTTTTCAGCACTAGCAACATAATAAGGTTATATAAGTGCCAACGATTAGAGGTGTTAAAAGAGAGTACCAAACACAACAAAGAAGGGAGGGGAGATAAAGACGACAGATGTTTGGTTTGATAGGAAAGAAGAAGCAAACAACACCAGAGCACCCATCAACCACCCACAGAGATAGGACTTGTCAGTCAGTGGTGACCTCCCAACACCGACAATAATTTCCTGAGTGACAAAACAGTTGCACACAGAGTTATGAGACAGCGGCAGACAGGCAGACAGGCAGACAGGCAGACAGGGCACACCCTGTACAAAACCGGAAAGTCCGGAACAAGATACATGTACATGTATTATGCAGACATGCAAATAGCCGTGCCAAGGTGCATACACCCCCCCTCCCCA